CGTCGTGGATATTTTTCGTATGATACGATAAATAAAAAATTAATATTAAATAAATAATCGGAAGGCGCGCGTTTCTCGATCACACTTTGGTATCGCCACGTAAAAGTCGTTTATACGTTTGTGAATTAATAAATCTTGGATAGGAGTCTCTGTGCATGAGAGTAAATATTTGTACTTGGGCTTCTTCAAACGTATGTGGCGTAGGATCGACCATATTTTTATTAATTACTTCGCGTACACGACTGTCTAGACTGACCTAAAATTAGAAATAATAATTGAGTTAATTAACGATATGATACTAAAATATAAAACAATCACATACTTCTTTAGGGGATAATATTGATATGTAATCTTCATAGATTAGTCTGGCTTTTTCTTCGATAATTTCTGGATTTTGTTCAGTTTTTAATTCTTCGCAGGATAACCAAAATAACATATTTTCTTCACTATATTCAGAACGTAAAAACTCTCGAAAATGATGTCGACCTCCTATAAAATAATAATAAATTTATTTATTTGAAATATATGCAGCAGTTCAACTATACCTTGGCTTTGCATAAGTTTTTCAAATGAATCTGCCCAACTTTTGATTTCTTCTATAGATGGCCTAAAATAGGAAAAAGAAGAAAAAAAAAAGTCAGATTGAAATAGTATATGCGTATAGTTATCTATAAAAAAATAACATACGGTTCACCAAGGTCAATTGGTTCTAGTGGGGGTCTGCCTTCGTCATTTCGCACGGTCAAACTAAAACAAATAAAAACAATGCATAAAACTTTAGAAATATATTACTATTTATTGATGAAAATTTGATTTCAATTTCTTGCATATGAATCATTAAATAAACTCACGCAAGAGTTCAAAGAATACGCAATATTTACGCTAACTCATAGAGCTAGGCAAATTGTGCGAAAGTTGCAGTTTTGTAATATCATTTTTTTGTGCGTGTATGTTCTGCGAATGCATGTGAGTAGAATAACAGGCTTACTATCGATGTGACACGCATGAAAACTGTCTTATTATTAATATTGTAGATCAGCTGTCTTTTAGAAGAAAAAGAAACTTATAAAAATGTTAGAAAAAATATAAAAAGAAGATATATATGAGGCGTACAAGCAATTCATGCTGAAAGCACATAAAACATCACACGATTTTATCTAAAATATCCATTGTGTTAGCAACATTCGAATAGACTCTTATGATGCTAAATTTTTTATACCCTTATACGGTGTAGAGTATCATCATTATAATTTACTTTTCAATATTTGATTGTAGCAGAAAAAAAATGAAAAATAACTTAAAGCATGCACATACGATGTTTACGAACTTTAAAATTCTCTCTATATATTCTTTTTTTTTTTCTGATGTTTTAGAACTGCGTAAAATGTTTTTTTATTCTATATTACCGAAAAATGTAACTGATAGCGAGTAGACTACACTCAAATTACTCAATAATCTATATTAAATCTCTTTTAGAAAAGTGAAATGTCTCCTTTTTTTTTGACTGAAATTAGCGTGTGGGCATTATTAGGATTCATTTTCTTTGACGCATGATATGTGACAATATGGAAATGTGTTATGAACTTATCAAAATTAATCGTTTCTTTGACGTTTTGTTTTTCATCTTATTCTGTTTTTTAAATACGTACTTTGAAAATAAAAAGTAAAAAATAAAATAAAATATAAATGAAAACTGACTTTTATCCTAAATAATGAGTAGTATCAGCATTAGCTTCCGTTTTTTAATAGTATTATATATACATATATATAATATTTGTCTTACTTCCTATTACCACCGGCAAGCATTCGTTTAACATTATCTGGAAAAACAAATACTAAATGTTCTAGAACACTTTTATTTCTTGATGATACAGATGATGTTGATGATATTGTAGATGAACGATGATGTTCATCAAACGAAATAGATTTTAATTTAACGGGTATTTTAGATGTGGTTGTAGATGAAGTTGTTTTGTCAGACGATTGAAAATAAGTTTGTGTTAATAATTTAGTATTACTATTTAAAGTACTTTTATTAATAGCTGTTGATGATTGTGAAGATTTTTCAATGATTATTTTCATTGGTGGTGAACGTGACGCATTATTTT